GGGTGTCTCCTCAATAACCTCAGATGCGCTCAGCGCTGCGTGTCCACCCCGGCTGGTTACAGGTGTTCTTGTTCTAAAGGATATCGATTACATCAAGACAGACAAGGTTGTATGGGTAAGTAAACAACCCGTAAGTAGTGGAAGACTGAGCATAGACATGACTTAGTCCCTTTCAGATTTCTCAGGTTTTTCTTACCCTAGATTCCAGGTTCTCGTTCCAGTTATTCTCGGTCGTGTAGGTTTCGTTATCGCGAAACCAAAGTGCGTTTTTGTTGGCATTGTCAGGTTTCTATCGTCGTTGTYAAGATCGGTTTGGTATTTTCCTCTCCACGTCTGTTTCGACTYCTCTCTAATYTATTTAGCTTCAGCTTTGAATACTTTTAAAACAGGACAATGATGGAGAGAGGGGGTGGAGTGCGCACCGGCGGTTTCCTGGGATACCAGCCTTGCAGATGAAGGAACTACCCACKTTAAATATGGCTATTTTACTTTTACCTTTCTGTTAGCGTCGCATTCAAGATAATCAGAGAACGGTCTATTAAGATCTAAAATGTTTGCTAGTATATACCAATGGTCTATTTTCTTTTCAGATGTTAACGAGTGCTTGTCAAATCAAACTAACTCGTGTCAGTACGAGTGTATCAACACCATTGGTAGCTACAGATGTCGTTGTCCGCCGGGATATAAGATGAGCACTGATGGCAAGAAGTGCGAAGGTATGATGTATGGTTTAACAAAATAACCGTTGTAAATCTCGTGTTCTGATCGTTTGTCGTCGCTYTTCTCCTAACACTCCTCTCGTGTTCCTAACAAACTCAAGAAATTACCATTAACTTTCTCTCCGTTTTTCTTTCAGACATTGACGAGTGTTCTCAAAGCCAGAGTGTGTGTCAACAGCCTAACAGTCGTTGTTTCAATACACATGGTTCATACCGATGCGTACAGACTCAGTGTCCATCGAACTATAACGTCCTTAGTCCTGGGTTAGTCTTTTGATAATTTGTTTCGTTCTTGTTGCATTTCGCTTCATAGACAGTAACTGACAAAGCTGTTGCGCTCGTTCCATGATCGAATTAGAATACTCCAGTTTCGAGTTCTCTGTTGCTCAGGGTTAGCTTCGAATGTTGTGCAGAATATCCATGTGTTCCAGTGAAGGTCCGTGGAATTTCAACGTGCTTGTATTGTGGAAGTTGTGCATGTTTTACTTTACCGTTGGTATTTGTGAACATTTGGAAACTTTGGACGTATTTTGGAGCTCGTAAATAGTCTATTCAGAGTTTGTTATTCTTGCGGAAGGAGATAGAACTGAAGAACGAGCACTACTAACATACGTTGCCGAGTGGAACACATGACCAGAGCGATTAGAGACGGCGCATTAACAGCTCCCACCACCATGGCATCTCATTGCTGCCATACTCTCCTCTTGTGTCCAATACAGCTTCTAYCTTCATTTGTAGAGAGCATACGGTTGCACCTCGATCCTTCACATTACACCATGTCTTGAAATGGTATTTACATCTAAGCTTGATTTTTTTCAGATACTGTCTCAACTCGTGCAATATGCCCGGTTTCTGCGCAACACAAGCCCTTCGATACTACACCGTCACCCTTCCCTTAGGGGTCCCCGCCAAYCAAGACCTGCTTCACCTCATCCCATACTACCCCCCACACCTCAGCACCAACCAGTACGTCTGTGACTTCCAGTACTTCTTCCCTGCTAGTTCGTCACCGTTTGGAATACGAAAAACCGGAAACGAGGCCATTATTTACACTATCGACCCTCTGACGACACCTGGSCTGCACCAACTTCACGTCAGAGCGGACATCAAGAATGCAGACGGTACATCAGCCTATCAAACTGACTTCACTGTTTATATAGATGTTGCTAGGTATATATTTTAAGCCATGGAACAGGTATTGGTATAGTGTCGTAATATCTATGATATTCCGTGGGTCTGAACAAAAGTTGACCAGGGAATCAACGGGGTGGGTAGCGGTAGTACGCACTCGTCTCAGGTTTCATACTTGAATTCTGTATCACATGTTAACAGAGTTTGTTAGGTCTCACCCTTGCATTGGTTCAAGGATTTTCCTCCTTGTTCTTCACCAGTTTTCTTCCCTCTCCTAACGCATTAAATTCCAAYCGTGCCCTGAATTTGATCAGACACGCTAGCGGTAGATCCATGCAAGATGATTTCAAGGAAGCTAGCTGTTAACAATCCTAAGTATATCTTCTTCAGTTTATATTTTGAGTTCTGCCGTATCTTTCCTAGCGGCCCTGCTTAGGGGGACATTAGGRGACTTAAGATTTGCAAAATTTACGACGGTAATGTCAACCGGAAGTGYAAATAATTTCTCTTTGCGTTGTGTTCGTTGGAGATTTTATTCAAAACATTGTCAGTAAAGTCAACTCATCCACAGGGAAGACAGACTTTGAAGGCGCGAAAGTCCAAAGTGAGGTTATTTACATTTTAAAGTCCCC